GACAATGAATGTATGTATGTTCATATATAACTGAAAAATTGTGCTCGACACTGGAATTTGACACAACATTGTAACATGACTATAACTCAATAAAAAATGTTAAAAAAATTGTATATAGTGGGGGAAAAATGTCTAGGACAGGGCTGGAGGGTCTGCATTCCTAACCCGCTCTGAAGTAATACTTACGTTGCAAATCCATTGACCACACTTTGAATAGTATGGAGGTAATAAGAGAGCTAGTCCTCTACTCTGCATTTTCCTAGGTTCTCACCTTATCATTGGCTCACTTGAGCCAATGTTATGGGTTGCATAGTGTCCTCCTCAAAAAGATATGATGAAGTTCTAAGCCCCTGTACCTCAGAATGTGAACTTCTTTGGAAATAGAAAGGGTCTTTACAGAGATAATTAAGTTAAAGTCAATAGGATGGGCCCTAATGTAATATGATCGGTATCCTTATAAAGAGAGAAAAATTGGACACTGAGGCAGGTGCTCACAGAGTAAAGATGATATAGAGACACAAGGAGAAGATGGTTACCTACAAGCTAAGGAATGTCTAAGGGACTAGAAGTTAGCAGAGAGGCCTGGAACACATCTCTTCCCAGCACCCTCAGCCGGAGCGGTGACCTGACAGCACCTTGATTTTAGACTTCTGGCCTCCAGAACTATGAGACAGCGTATTTCTGTTGTTTAAGCCCCCCAGTTTGTGGAATTTTGTTACGGCAGCCTTCGGAAAGTAACAGAGATATAGTACTAACGACTTTTCCCTGACACCTCCCCATTCTCTGACACACAGGGAACACTTCGGTGCACCGCTAAACTTAGTGCGACGTGAAGAATGTGAGGACAGCACTCCACATGCAGATAGGGTAACAGGAAGGGGTGAGTCATGTTTCTCAGTTCTGCCCGAGACGAAAGCCTGGACTGGCCCTACAGTCACTGCAGGTGTTACTCATGAAGCAGGTTACATCTGCTCTTCATGGTCTCTGTTGTTAGTTCCCCTTAGGAATAGACAAACTTGACTCTTAACACTCAAAGGACATATCCTCAGATTTTTATGAATATCTATCTAAATTCTCAAGTACTTCTACAGCATATAATTTTCTTCAGAAAATGAAACATAACTGAAAACTTGGAGAGGCCCCTTAATGATCCTAGATCTAAAATAAGTTGTCAAGGCATTAAAACAATTTCACAAATCACTTTTGCTGTTGTTTTGCTGCTTTATAGCACGTTTCGTGGATTCACTTTGACATAGATCATCAATACTGTCAAATCCGAATTCCACAATTTATTCAAAACTGCTCTTGTCTATGAATTCCCATTTATTCCTACCTCTTCACATCCTCTGTGCTTCATTAGAAGCCCTACAGATCGCTTCTCTTTTCGAAGCCATTTTTCTACAATGAAACAAAGTTGTTTTTTTAAAATCCTTTTATTAAGGATTGTAATAAATATAAATAGAAAAATATCCCACATAGATTTTTATGTGAAGGTGTAGGAAAGAGTGAGGTAAACTAACTTCACTCACCAGCTAAATGATGGGTCCATACAAATCAGTCTCACATCAAACATGATTCAAACACATTCCTCGGCAAAATGACAAATTACTCACAAGGTATTACAGACCTTGGCTTTCATTTTAAAAGAGTAAAACACATGCTTCCAAGATCCATGAAAGTCAAGGGTGTGTGAGGTTCTTGATTTTGATACTCAGCCACCACACTTCTCCTGAATATATAGTTCATCTTATTTCTTACACTCTCCATCGTTCCCAACTAGGGACGGTACCACTCCTGGGAGGGGTGTTTGGAAAAATGTAGGAGTGTTTGAGTTTTCACAATAAATGGAGGGAGTTATTGGCATTTAATGGGCAAGGCCTGGAGAAACCAAATAAAGCAAAGCATGAGATGATAAATCTTTGCCCCTCACCCAATGCCAACGGCTCCTCTATGTTGAAGCCCGCTTCCCATTCTGACATTTCTTTAAGATTAATGATCTTTCCGATTTGGGCTCTGGGTTCACCTTTTGACTTCTGCCAGAAACCATGTTGACTTCACAAGTCTCTTCTCTCTGATTTAACAGGTGTGTCATTCCTTTGCATGTTCAAAGAATGCTGTTTCTCACCCTCTCCACTTTATGAACTGTGATAAAGAACATACCGTGTAACTAACACACCTGTTTTTCTTGGTTTGTTGTCTAATTTTTTTAGTGTTATCGTTACATCTAATACTGTACACACTGTATTTCAGATAGGACATCTGGGAGATGTTTTTAAGCATTCTTTTGTTCAAGTGTCCAGCTCCCTCCACCATTACTGTTCCTGTCTCATAACTTCTTTATCCACTCATTTTCAAACATAAATAAGCACCTGCTGTAAGACACAGTGTTAAGCCTCACGGAGGGAGATGACAGACAGTGAGAATCATGGACTCCCTTGGGGATAGTCCGATTTACCTTGCTTTATTTCTCATTATTTTTTTTTCTATTCTCCCTGATAACTTTCTACAACTTTGAACTTTCGCCTGATCTAGAAAAAACTCACTTCTCCACAAAACCGTGGCAATTCTATTTGCTAAAATATCTCCACTCACATCTATGTTGATTAGCTTTTTGATTATTTCTTCTACTACAGACAAGTCCACATACATGTAATCATTTTAACCTTAAAATTTATGATTTATGCTAATGTTACAGGTTGTAAAAACTGAGGCTTAAAAGATTCAGTAACTTTCCCAAACAACTTGCTCATGGATTTCAAAACAGGTCTCGCTGACCCTACTGCCTATGTTCTTAATGAATATACAATATTCCTGATAATTAAAACTTCCTTCGCATGACTGCCAGTGAACTTTGTATGCCCTACTTTTAAATCATAGCATAGACACAGTTGGCCTTCATTCTCAGCGCCTCGACTAAATGCATCACAGCTATTTTAGAAAACGGGTTATGCCTTCCAAGTTTCTATTAAAAATAAACCAAAAAATTGTTTAAAAACTTTTCTTGGTTTCTTAGCTAATACAAATCCACAAAGCAGAAGTTCCAAATATAACTAGGTAGTCCTCTGTGAGTTTGCAGTGCCTGCAGGCTTTTGAAGTCCTGTGAATTTGCCTTAATCTGTTGCTAGGGACACTGCACATTGCTCCAAACAGCCTGCCAGTCTGAGAAACCTAGCGCGAATGACATAAGTGTTTCTTTCATCCAGGTCAGAGGATGATGTGAGGCGATATGGGAGGTCATGGGAGGGGAGGAATTCAGGATTGAGAGATCAACTAGAGGAATAGGAAATGACAAAGAAGGAAGAATCCACAGACCCTAAAGGAAAAGCTTTCCAACCGAAGCTGTCCTGCTCCCCACCAAGCCCACGCCCCTTGAGAGCTTTTGGAATTGGTTCAGTCTAGTCTGACAGCAACTCAGAAAGGCCAGGGCACAGCTGACAGTGTCTCATTCCCTTGTCACACCAATGGCAATCACAGATCAGAAACCCGCACTTACCAGAGACAGGGAGGCCACTTTGAGACCTCAATCAAGTGTCAGACTTGGAATCTAGAGAGTTAAGAGTAAGAAATCAGTCTATAATTTTTTTCTGACACTTGTCAGGCCCCAGGATCAAACATAAAGCATCAGTTTAGAATTAAAGAAAAAAATGAGTGATTTCCATTTATACCTAATTTATACATTATTCTTCCATTTATACCTTCGTCAGGAGGAACTGGGGAGCTTGAAAAACATAGAGGATGATGGGGCATGTGGTGCAGAGGAAGGACCACTCTTGACACCCCACTTCTCCTATGATAACTGGTATGACTGCCACTAAGCCTGGGCACCCCTCAAGCAGCAAGATGCCATCTCTACCCTATTTGGGGCTGCTTAGTGACACGGTGGGTGTAGCATCTCCTCTGTGCAAGCACACCAAAGCTTTCTTTTAGCACGTGTAGAGTTTCATATTTTATACTAAATCTTTGACTTCTCTAGAATTTATTTTGGTGGAAGGGAATAAACTCTTTTTTCCCAAATGGCTATAGTTGTACAAATACCTGTTGTCAACTCAATCATCCTTCCCCCACTATTTGAAGTTCTATATTTATTACACAATAAATTCCTGTGGGAAATGCCAATAACTGGAATGGAGAAACTAAATAGAGGAAAAAATTCCATTCCCACTAAAACACCATATGTATGCTTTCACCTTTCCTCAATGTTTAAAAATAAAAAGGAGAGCTGTTACAAAAAAGGTGCCATATTTCTGAGGTGTCTCTTTCCTTGATTACAGGTTATTTTTAGCACATGTTGATCTGTTTTAATCTGATAAATTAATTACCCTGTTAGTTCTTTGATCCCTCTGTGCATCACTGCTGACTCAAGGGGTAGGACGCTATGAATGATCGTTTTGCCAGCTCAGCTGAAACTAAATTGATACTCAACTTATACATGTCCTTTGCCACATTTTATGTTTGCTTATAAGGGCATGGCTGGTTATGGATATTTTTAAGTGACAGAAGATTGAGCTTTTGAGCAAAATAATCAACATACTTTACTCTTCTTTTCTGAATTTCCTTATTATGAAAATCAGGCTGGAAACACTGTAAAAGGCCCTTAGGGGATCTGAAAAAACTCTGTCAATGAGTTCAGTTGACTTAATTGTTTATTTATTCATTTAACAATTATTTATTAACTTCTGTGAGCCAGAAGAAGATTCTAACCAAAGGTGAATGGTGAATGTACAAAGTTAAAATTTCTTTAATAATTCTAGCCTAACTAAGGATTTTACCAGAACCTTAATGTGGAAACATTTATTGTTAGACTCTACATCCAATAATACATAGCTGTGTAGGACAAGTAAAATGTACCTAATTATTCTGTAAAGAGGACTCAGTTATTTTCAACGGTTTTGTTGTTTTAAAGTATTGAAAAACAGAATGAAACAAAACCTTTCTGGAGTTTACTAGGAGAGTTACCTAAATTGATGGAGAGGTACATTTGGTGTGAAGAGGTTGTTGTCCATAGCAGACTAACCAGATGAACACCAAATTTAGCAAAATGATACTAAGTAATCTGTCTATCCCTGTTTGGGTGTGTTAGTTTGTATTAGTCATGTCTTTTAATTTTCTGTATTTTTGATGCTTTGACATCTGGACTTTGCTGATTCGAAGAGACTGCCCCTTCCAAGGCTAGTCAAATCCTAGAGATAGGAAAGGCTAACCCACAGCGTGTCTTTTTGATAAAATTAAACCAATTCTGAGCCCATACCCCAACCAGGCCTTTTATCTGGCTCTCACAAGGCTCCCACACTCTGGGCCACTATCCATCTGTCCTAAACACCTCGGGGCTGGGTACCCAGACACCTTGAGACAGTCTCTATGCCTCAGGGTCTGCTGACATTTGAACTAGCCAGTCCTAAGCCAGTTTACCCTACATTGCCTGTTCTTTCCCAAGGAAACGATGATAAAAGATCTTGCCCACGTTTTCTCTTTTCTCTCTCTGCCTCCTGGCCAACCTCGTTTTTCCCCACGTGGCCCTTCACTGCATGGCATGTCCCTCCTTTTGAAACCGTGAGTAGCAAACAACAGCAATTTTCTCCTGATCTGTTGTTCTCACTATACCTAAATGATAATAAAACCTACATTTAAAACAGAGGTCTTACATTAACTTAAAAGAAAAGAAGATACTTCTTTATAGCTACAAAATAATTCCTTTCAACACACTGATGTGTTCTGATAAGAGTTATCAAGCCAGCAAAACCCCATGCTACAAGAGAGCAGGAGCGAGAGAAGGGACAGCCTCCAGCCTGTTTTAGACTTGGTCATCAAAATATTCAAAGCATGCGGATCTTGAAACTATTCCACCAGAAAAGAGCATATAAAAGCCCCTTTTAATTGATTCTGAAACATTGGAGTAGAATTCTTGAACATTCCCTTAAGGTTGAATACACCTGTAACAGAAGCTTTGCAGTAATTTTCTGTTGATGGTCTCCTGGCCATTAGAAATATTTGGAAGTTGTAATTACATTGTCCTGCAGTGATTATTTGAATTATATATTGATTAAAAACTGTTTGGTTATTAAAATGTGGAGTCAAGTTGGCTATTAGTATTTCTTAAAAAATATTTGTTTTGTGTGGTAGAGGATGGCTAACGGGGGAACCTGGGTTGACACTGGGATTGGGTTTGAAGGCTGTCCTCATGTAAGTAATTTAAAGGTTTAAAAAAACAAGACTTACTTGTGAAAATATGTAGTTGAAACACACTTTTTGTGATGGCCCGTCACAATCCGGGCCCACCTGCTAGCAACCAGACCCTGTCCGTTCCATTTCCTTAGAAGACACACCGGTTTCAAAACAAATGAGGCAGGCCTCTCGAGCAGACTTGCATAAAATGTTTTCAGTCTCTGTCTTCAGTGGAGAATTGCCTGCTGCCACCTGCTGCTACTCCAGCTGCCAAGTATCCAGTGGCCCAGGAGGGGGCCAGTGATTGTCTGGACACTCTGTAGCCTCCAGGGACCTCTACCAGAAAAACAGTCATATCATACACCCTGCCTTCCATGTTTCCACAAACAGCCTAGGCCTACCTGAGGGAACCTGGACGTAACAGTTAAAAGTTGTGTGACTGCTCATTACTTCACCTGAATCTACACTGTCTGGGGAGAAGTCAGTAGGCTAACTAGAACTTAATTACCTTAATGCTAAGGTAAAGAGATATAAAAACTACTAATATCACTTTAAGCCAACCCCATATACTACAGATCATACTTAATCTCAACTGAGCAAAAGTGTAACTATGTGCTATGTGCAGACAATTCTTGATAGAAGTTTCCAGCCTAGTACGGACCAGATGGGTGAGTCAGCATGAATGGCAGAAATGCTAGGAGAGACAGACATGACCAGGGCCTGCCTGGTAGCCATTTATCAACCCATTCTTTCCCACTAATCACCGCATTTCCTGTTCACAGAGTGGGCAGTGATCTCTTGATCTCCAGGGAGGTGCATCTCTCCCCAGTCCCAGGACATAAATCAAAATTGCGTTCTTATGCGAGAAGTAGAGATTGAGTGTAGGTCAAAAGAAAGCAGGTTCAGTAAATTAAGGACTTGGTAAGTTTAAAGTCTAGAATAAAATATAAAGCTTAAAGAAGAGAGAGAGCAAGAACACAATGTGCTGAGGAATTTAAGCTTTTTAAAAAATTAGAGGTACTTATCAAATATATAAATACAGCCTAATCTTTTCCTTTAACTAGGAGCGCTTAATTGCATAGAAGTCAATGTGTTTGAACAGGCTGGCATGTGCTTTGAGGTCAGTACCTATAATCTCTAAACCTTTTTAAACCTCTTTGTATGCCACAGTAAGCTAGTTATCTAAAGAATAAACACAGACACTATTCAAGGCTTTTCTCGGCTGTTTACACTGATTCTGGTTCATCAGATAGATGACAAAGTTTCTAGTCTTTTCGCAAGGAAGGTGACCACGGGTACAGATGGACACACCACATTTGAACATACTGGACCTGCACTCATCATAGAGACACGGATATGCTCGTGTTTATAAAATGCTGACAACAGGCCCTCCACCATATCTTTTCAGTCATGGTGATCAAGTCACGTTACACCCTTTCAAAGAAGTAGCCAAAATTTACCTCAAGGCAGCAAAGAAACCAGGGGAGTATGAGTTCCAATATGGAAAGGCCAACCAATCATCAATTCTTTGTGCACCTCAAGTTCCATGTCTGTCAAATGAAACTATTTCTGTTCTAAATCACATAGAAAGCATGACAACGTTAGAGTCAAGTGTTTTCTGCTCACCATTCCACGGTGTTGTAACATAGTGTGAAAGCAAGAAACCGTGAAGAGTGCACCTAAGGATCAGTCCAAGTATATGTCACAACAGGTGACATTCTAGTTTACAGTATTAGACTGTTTCTAAACTGACCTAATTCAAAAGTGGGACAAATAATTTTGATATCATATGTTATCTAAGTGTTTTCAATAACTTCAATGTTCACTGAATTTCAATATATCGTGTAATTTTATCAGTTTCAAAGTCTAAGTAAAAACCAATTTTAAATAAAATTTTAAAATTCACTTTCAAAAAAATTCCAATTTTATCAATCTAGGCAATCTTAATTAAGACAGACAAGTACATTTCACAGCTTAACATGTTTTATTAAGAATTTTTGCTCTTGGCTTCATTTCTGCTGACTCTGAATTTCCTTAAACATGCTACTGTTCTTTCATTAGACTTGAAAAATTGAGCAGTTGAAGTACTGTTCATATTCCACTGCAATTATTCATTTTAATGTATTATCTTTCCCCTTATTGTAAAATTTGATAGCTTTTCAATCTCTTACTCGTCCTATTTTTGCAATATCTAATTCCCACGTTTTCCTTTTTTAAGAGCATGTGTTTCATGAATACAAATCCTTGTATATTTATATACAATACACTGTATCTCCTACATATTTTGTATAGATTCAATTAAGCAGCTAACATACAAAACTGGCGCAGTGTTAAGGCCTGTCCATTTAGCCAAGAGCACATATTGGATTCCTATTATTTTATTCCTAGTAAGCACATACTCCATGTCCCCACATACCTTCACAAGTGCACACTGTAGTTATATGGTCCCTGTGCACACAAAACATGAAGTTCCAAAACTCAAATACGCTGACAACAAAAACTTTAGAAGCTGATTGAATTAATCGTAAGTACATCAAAATACAGCAAAGTATGATCTGGTTCTCAAACAGTTGTTTGTTTTTTTTTTAAATCACACATACACATATCATTGGCCAAGCAGAAGGTTTCATTTTGACAAGCAGAAACACGGAACACTCCCATGTTGCTTTCATCACCAGCTCAGACCCTAAGGCACTCCGCTCTCTCCGAAGTTTCAACCACTAAAATGGGAGTGAAGCAGAGACTACAGCACAGCCAGGACTCCAGAAAAACAGCAGTTCAGATTTACATCTGAAGTAGTTCTCGCATGCTTTCAAATCAGCACTGAGATCCCGCATGCGAACAGCTCTGTCATTTGGCAGCAGCAACCAATGAAAGAATCAAGAAGACGGCACCAAACTGATCACACTTCAGCGTGAGAACAGCAGTATGTCCAATCTGTTGCCATAATTTGGACACCGTGGAGCGCTGAATGGATCATGACAGAAAACAAGGGTATAAATAAAACCACGCACAGTCTAGG